TATTTGTGAATACTCTTCCTGACTGTATCTGTAGTATTTGTGAATACTCTTCCTGACAGTAGCTGTAGTATTTGTGAATACTCCTCCTGACTGTACGTGCAGTACTTGGATCAGTGAGTTGCAGTAAAACTCAGAGTTACTGTAAATGAGCATCATGGAGTGAAACCTCAAATCTACGGAGGCTGTTTCCGGACAATCCCGAGCACCTCCGAAGTCTCCCTCCCCTCCCCTCCCCTCCCCCTCCCCTTCACGCCTAATGTTGCCGTACCTTCAACCCTCCCCCCGTATCAGAGGAGTAGAAACAACAAGCCGCCATTTTGTTTGTGCGGACAGAAACAGGAGGAGATAACCGAGAGAAGGAGCGACTCCGGCAACCGAGGTCTGCCGCTCCGGGAACCGCCGGTGGAGGAAAGCGCGGCGAGATCCCGTCCGTGTTACCGGGGAGAGCGAAGAAGCATCGCCGAGGAGAAAGATAAAGAAGACGGCGGCGGAGCGAAAAGCCAGCGGGTGATAAATAAATATCTGTATCTACATGAATGTCTGCATGAGAAGGAAATACTCCGAGAAAACCGAGGAAGGGGGTGTTTTTGCGGAGAGGGGAGGCGGAAGAGAGCCGTGTGTTAGAACCAGGAAAAACCTGCGGGAAACAGCAACATGAAAAATCATTATGTGTCCGTGGCGGAGGAAGGAAAGAGTCCGCATAGACAATTATATAAATAAATTGCTGCCGGGCAGGAGGGAGAGGTGGAAAGAAAGACGGGTTTAAAGAGAAGGGGGGCAATCTCCATCACAAAGAGTCAACCCGAGGATTTGGAGATATTTTCCGGGGGTGTCAACATCATCGTGCCGATCTGGAGCTTTCCGCTTCCGAAACAGCCATCACCTCTCACCGCCTCATTTTATCACGTTTTCTCGCCTCCGCCGCGCTCCTGTTTTTTTTTTTATTACGCGCTTTTCTGTTCCTCTTCGCCTGCACGAACAAGACATCCAGCGACCGACAAGTATATATACACGTTTGTTGGTGTATCGGAAGGCGGATATTTAACAGTTTTAAAAAAAAATAATATCTGGGAGTTTTTACATCGAGGAGGAGGAACCTCATCTGGAGCCCAGGAGACCCCCACACAACGTCCTCTGCAAAATACAACTAATTGGATCAATCTGACTGGCCTGATTGGCAATTAGCGTTGATTTTTTTTCCCTGCATCGAAGAGATAAAGTGCATCGACTGCACAAGAGCAGTGATTTCTTTTTTTTTTCTTCAAGATTTTCTATTTTCAACCCCCGCTGACTGCAAAAGGGGTTGCAACAACCAAATGTGCAATACCAGTCTGTTCTCCCTGACCCAGTGCCTTGCATGGTCAAACACTAAGTGCACATTCTAGTCTGCATGCACATGCAAAAGAAAACTCCGCGTTTGGGAGTAGACATCTGCAATAGATGCTCTTTTTATCCGAGTGATTGCAAAGCGTGGGACTCCGCTGTTTTTCCCCCCATCTATCTGCCAAACCAATGCAATTAGTTGTTTCTCGGTGTTTCACTTGAAAACACCACTTACACTTGAACTGTATTCTAACTGTGGTCTCCTCCACACAGAACGACTGCCTTCTTGGTTTGGGGACATAAAGGAATCGGTGGCAGTGAGATGCCTGCTCAGGTGAGAGAGAAATGCTCACCGCGGATCTCATAACTGTTGCATGAGATATCTGCTACCAGAAGTTCACACGGGACAACTCCTGGGGTTTTTTTTGGGGGGGGGGTCACAGTTTCCATTTTGCACCGACACACTTCTGGAGCGTTTCAGGTGTGAAGTAGAGGGTTTCTCCGCCGACGATGGCGGGCAGGACTGCGTGCGCCATGGAGGACGGATCTTGGGACAGTCTAGTGTCGTAGAGGAGGCTACATGAGGTTGTCAGAGGGCCGCACGCTTGCCTTTTTGCCGACTCCACGTTCCCACCTCCTCCTCCTCCTCAAATCTGTGAAGAAACGAAATCTCCGACAGGGGAGGGGGACTGATCTCTGCATAGAGGAATAAACCGAAAGGGAAGGAGTCCAGTCCCGCTGTCTTCTCCCCTACCGTCCCCCGAGCGGTGGGGGAACGATCAGAAGATTTTTCTTAAGGGCACAAGGAGACGCAAATTAGGGAAATACGTTTGCCCTCCGTGGACCTTCTGCATTTTTAATTCGTCAAAAATATGGCCGATAATGTCCTGGATTCCGGCCCGCCTTCAGCTAAGAGGCCCAAGCTGTCCTCTCCAGCTCTCTCGGTGTCTGCGAGTGATGGAAACGGTGAGTTCATTGCATGCATTTGAAAACATAAAGTAACTTAGTGTGGTCGTGCATGAATTGCTGGTCAGTGTTGGAGGTGCCTGCAGAGTTGAAACTTGTGAAACGAGAGATGCTACATAATTAATGCTTTCAGACACGAGTGGGTGCGTGGTGAGGTTAAAAACAGAGAACGTGGTTAACGGTGAGTGTGGACATGTTGGAAGCGGAGAGAGAAACACGATGTAAAGCTGGTGGTAGCAGCAACTTTCCAGCAGCGGTGTTTTGATGCGTTAGCCTCAACAGGCTAACTAGCTCCGAACTACAACATCCACCTCCAAACAATGGAAGAGTCGAGTCACCCCAGTTTGCCCCAAGTTCTCCCGCTGCTGTAAAAGTAGATAAGCTGGAAGCACGAGAGCGTCAACACGCTATGGGTCGTGTTCTACACACACCCTGCAAACAAAGAGACAAAATGCTGTTTCCAGAGCAGCTTTAGGAGAAAGTAACGGAGCGAGCTAGCTAACGAGCTAGTTACCCTGGACCGGCTCAGCTGAGCTCGGTAGCTGCTAGCAAAGGAAATAAGTGATTAGCTTAACGTTGACGATCACAGCGACATTTTCCTGCTCGTTACAGACTCTTTCTGTGGCCGTGGATCTAAAACATGTTCGTGGTCACCGGTTTCGTGTACTTTACGTGTTGTAAACAGTAAAACAAATGCTCGTGTTTCGGTGAACTGTTGTCCGGCAGCTAGCTATTGTTCGACACTTCATTAAAGTTGCGCTAAACGTCGCAGAGCTTCACGTGCAGCTGCGTGTTGACTCAAACAGTTTCTCTTTCTTAACCGAAACGCAAATTCAGCCATCGACTCTGAACCGTCGTCTTTCGTGTGCTTCGATCAAAAGCTTCTACTTTCTCAGTATTGTTCCCCCGTCGAAGCCCATTCTCTCTCAGCCTCCATTGTCTGAACCCTGCACGTCGACCCTGCGCTGCAGTTTACTTTTTAAAAACTCTTCTCCCAGGCCGAGCACACGAACGCCTCTCATCTGGATTGTGAAATAAACTATTATTGCAAACCAATGCGTTTGCACATGTTGAGCAAGAAGCTGTAAACTCCTGCTGCTTCCATCCCCTCTAGTTTAAGTACAAACTGAGCCAATGAGCAGGGTGTTTGGACAAAGCTGTAAATCACTCTATATTTAAAATGGCAAAACAAAAAAGTTCAGAGAATTGTGGACTCTGTAGAGAATAGCAGCCGCAACCACACCACTGGCTCAACTGTTAGGACACATATGAGTGTGGATCTCAGGCCTGATGCACGTTTGATTTCGCTCAATATCTGCAAGTCTAATGCAGCATAAACAGGGACTGAAGCAAAGGGTCTGCAGAGCGATGAGATTGTTCTCGTTTGCAGTTCATCGTATCTTTCACACAATAGCGGGGATTTTCAGGAGAATGTAGTGAGACAGTTACATGTCACAATCAAACATGCACCCAACTTTCTCTGTCTCTCTGACTGTTTGTGCGTACTCCCAAATGGTTTTCATTTTTGATTTACCTCCTGTTGCAGACGGAAGGACTTCTGATGCCCGTGTTTTTTTGTCATGCTCGACAACATAACTGTGCAGATCCCTAGATACTGTAGTGTTTACCCCTCTATGGCTTCACACCCTGACCCTACTGCATTCACTCTCCATGTTTGGCACAACATCAAACCACAGACTGATGCACAGGAGGCTGTTTGAGCAGCTACTTATCCACTGGCTTTCTATCTATGAGCTCCAGATCAGTGGTTGATAGTTTTCAAACTAGTGTCAGAGCTGTATATTTAATAAATCTTGGTAAAGTACTCTATGTAGTACAGATAGTAGATTTTTGCTTTTCCTGAGCTGTGAAGTCTGTGAACCAAATCTTTATATTTCTGGTTGGTAAGATTTTAATATGTCTTCCCCCCGTGTCTAGATTTTGGCTCATTCTTTGACCTGGAGCACGACCTCCCAGATGAGCTAATAAGTTCCTCGGACCTGGGTCTGACCAACGGAGGGGATGCCAGCCAACTCCATACCACTCTCGGAGGTATCGGAGGTATTGGTTTGGGAGGAGGCCAGGATGCAGCTGCCAAACACAAACAGCTGTCTGAACTCTTGCGCGCTGGAGCCCCAGCACAGCAGGGTGGCCCTGCTTCCAACAGCACAGCACCTGGGGCTTCGATGGGGATGATGGGGGTTGTCAGCGTTTCCCCTGGTGGACCTCAAGCCATGCCCCCCCACGGCCAGCAGCAGCAGCAACCTGGATTAATGCAGCAGGTTGGGATGGTTGGAGGTATGGCAGCTCTCAATCGAGCAGCTTCCATGATGGGTAACCAGAAGGGTAACACTGGACAGCAGGGGCTGATGGGGGGGCAGGTGATGAATGGCTCACCGAGAATGGGTTACCCTGGCAATGCAGGCATGGGTAACAGTAGTAACCTGTTGGCGGAAACCCTGCAGCAGCAGCCAATGGGACCAGGAGGTCAAGCAGGGATGAGACCACAGCAACCTGGAGCACTGAACAAGGTAATCACACTTAAAGCTCCACGCCCAGCCGACACACACATTTCACTTTAGAGGCAGCTACACAATGGGAACGGGAAATTATCCATTGAGGCCAAGATGGTTCACATATCAGAATAAACAAAATGTGGTTTGGCTTCTCTGATGAATCTCTACACACCTGCATACACTTCTCATCAAATACTGAGTTGTGTAGATGCAGAACCTTAGAAAAGGAAATTGCTGCTGAAAATCAATGTGAATGTGTGTGACTGGTCAGGATGGAATTGTAAAACTTTGACCTCTTGAGTGCAATAATTCAGAAAGGAAGACTAATGGTAGTCTCATCCTAAAAGCTGTTTAGATGTAGATTTGATATGGCTAAACCACACTTTTGGTTTTATGGCACAAAAGGCAGACACATTTGTCCAGAGACTGGTGTAGATTGTGGTTATGTGTTGGACTCACAGAGACATCACTTCACTCTGTGGATGGTTAACATCCTTGCTTGGAGATTTGCCACATGACAGTTTTGTGATATTTTTTCTCCCAAAGGTGTGAAGGAGGTACTAGTTTTAATTGCTTTATATTTCTCTGACTGCATCGTGTTGATGCTTTTCCCCCAGGTTGACATCACAAAACAGCAAAAGTATTTGTTTTGTTAAGAAAAACACAAGTATTTGTGCTGGCCACATTTTTTTACTTCTCTTCCATGTTGCAGTTTAAGCTCAGAGTTCTTTCCCTTCAGATGCAGAGATGAACTGTTTCAAGTTTCTCTTGGTCCTAGAGCAACAGTTAATAAAGCACTTCCTGTTTTTGCTGATATTGGATCTTCTGCCGTAGGTTAAAGATTTCTTTCTGCTTCTGAAAATACTGTGGCGTGGATCTAAGGCCTAAGCTGGGGGTGACCAGTAGATCGTATCTGTGTTTTTAAGTTCACGCAGAGAGGAAAGTAAGGTTGGGACAAAAGAGAAGTTAGATTGTGATTTTACGACCACAATGGGAAGTAATTGTGAAGGAATAATTTCCAGTAGTGTTTGGAAAGTGATTTCATGTTGTCCTGGTGCTGTTTGCTCCGCGTTATTGTGAGTCATTTTAAAACAGTCATTACACAGACATTATAATACCTCCAACATTTCCTCCTTGATTGTTTGTAAATTGGCTGCTTAAATCGTGCTTTCATGCTCACTGTCTCTCTCTTATTTCCTCCCCTCGCGCTGCTTTCCAGATGAGTATGATGGCCAACGCGGGCCCCTATGGTGGTCCGTACGGCCAATCTGCTGGCCAGGGGCTGCCTGGAGCAGGGCTGGGCCCGCAGCTCCAGAATAAGGCAGGTCTGCCCAACAATATGGCCAATCAGTTCAACATGGACAAGAAGGTGCCTCCGGGTCAAGGCATGCCTGGAATGGTAGGATATTTGAGTTTTTATTTCTCTTTTGTACAGGTAGACAGACTCCTTCCAGTCTTATAATATTGTAGATTAAGTTTACATTGTAGCTTCCCCTCTTTCTCACAAAACACATTGTCTGTGTCAATGGGACAAATCCTTCAGCGTCAGTGGTCCAGAAAAAGTTTAACACCTGTTCTTATAGTACACACGAGAGCGTAGACTACTGCATGCATGTTCAGTGGGAAATCACAATAATCAACCCTATCCATAAATTGCAACATGTCAACATGTTGTGGGGTTAGTCTTGCAAGCAATCTTTTACCTGGGAGACCGGTATGTACAGCTTTCAGACTAAAGACTAGTTAATTGGGGGCATGTTTAGTTATGTGTGTGAGAGAGAATTAAAGAAGAAGCTAAACCAGTTTCTCCACCAACAAGAGCCTGAAAAGATGCAAACACTGTGTAGAAAAACAATAATATTCTCATTTGCGTGACTGTCACATGCCATTTACTGCCGTGTGTGTGTGTGTCAGTTAGACAATGTATAGAGTCTTCAATTCTTACCGTGTTACGCCAGAGATATGACAGACTACAAGTTGCTCCCCGACCAGTCACGGCTTGCTGTCTTTAATGGCGTCGTCGGAGGGTGTTACACTGGCGAGGGATAGAATATACACAAACATGGCGTCTTAATCCATTAGCAAATATCAAAATTGCAGGAGTGTTGTTGCAACAGCTTGGTGACAAAGTAGCTTTAATCCTTATCACAATAACATCAGCTCCTTCACAGAAATTAAACTCGTTGAAGCAAAACTGCAGAACAATCGAATGCAACTGAGCTGCCCCGTCAGGCTGCAGTGAAAGTTTGTAAACTACATGAATGTGTGAAGAAACATGACTTTGATATGTGGTTCTTAAGCTAATTTAAACCATTGGATGTTGTGGCCTCTTGCTCTGTCATACGCAATATCTCAATGCCAATGATTGTAAGATGGGAAGTATTGGTCAGCTGCTCATCATCATCACCAGAAGTGATCAGTAGTCAACAGAGCATGGCTGCATTACAGGCTTGAGTTATTTATTGTGCTTATTGCTATTTGGCTTTAATTTAACACAGACAGAGCAGCCTCAATATGGCTCTGTGTTTAATTACAGTATTGCTTGAAGCCTCGTTTTTAAACTGATTTTTGCTTCTTTCTTCACTTTTAGTGTTTGATTGTTTATGCATGTACCTTTAATACATGTTTTCAAATATTAGACAAAATATATTAGTGTGGCACCTGATGGTTGTCTAATGGTCATCCACGCCTCCTCTCCTCTCTATGACAAGCCCTCTCAGCAGCAGCAACCTGGAGCGGTTGGCGGCGTATCTGTCGGTGGAGCAGCAGCAGTGGGGGGGCCGCAGGTTGGGCTCAATGTCGTAGGGGCAGGTCCCGGCACAGCGCCCCCTACTGCAGACCCTGAGAAGCGGAAGCTAATTCAACAGCAGCTGGTGCTCTTGCTCCACGCGCACAAGTGCCAGCGGAGGGAGCAAGCCAACGGCGAAGTACGACAGTGCAACCTGCCACACTGCCGCACCATGAAGAATGTGCTGAACCACATGACTCATTGCCAGGCTGGCAAGTCCTGCCAGGGTTAGTCTGCCGAATAATGCCGATTGCTTTCTTTTATGATGTGTGTGTGTTTTACATAAAAGGTGTTTAAAGTCTTAAAAGTTTTCAAATATCTGGTCCAATTCTTGTTTTTGTATGTTTATGTCCTGCTCTGTTATCATCCCAGCCTTTTGTATCAGAATGAGTTATTCTTCTAAGGTGGCTGTTCCACCATAATTTTTCCTTGCTCCTACTCTCAGTGAGTCGCCATCTGGACATAGTTTTATTGAACCGAATGACTCATACAATAACCTCTCTCCATTTTCTCTCATCCTTTCTATTCATTATTTTTCTCCCTACTTCACTCTTCATATTTTCAAATGTCCTTCCTCTTTCCTTTTTCCCCACTTCTCTTCCTGTTTGCGATACTTTCTAAAATTTTGTCTTTTCTTCTGCAGTGGCACACTGTGCCTCATCCAGACAGATCATCTCTCATTGGAAGAATTGCACACGACATGACTGTCCTGTATGCCTGCCACTGAAAAACGCTGGAGACAAGAGGAACCAGCAGTGTGAGTGATTCTTGCTCTCTCTCTCTCTCTCTCTGTGTGTGTGCGTGTGTGTCACATTTTAAAATTATAACGAAACCATTAAAATGCACGATAGTCAACTTGAAACCACAAATGCTCATCCTGTTGCCTCCTCTCTCTTTCTACCGTCAATCCTCTGTCCCCTCTCGTTCTCTTGACAGCTCTCCTCAACAGTGCAGGGGTGGGTTTGGTGAACTCTTTAGGGTCAGGGGTACCAGGTGGACAGTCCAACACGCCCAGTCTGAACCCCCCCAACCAGATTGACCCCAGCTCCATTGAGAGGGCCTATGCTGCGCTGGGTCTCACTTACCAGGGAAACCAGATGCCACAGCAGCAACAGACCAATATGCCAAACCAAGGGCTGCAGGGGCAACCTGGAATGAGGACTCTAAACACCATGGGTAAGTTTGTTGCTGACCTTTTCTTGACCTTGTTCAGATCGAAGTTTTTCATTACAGGAGCTGTATTCCACAAATAATGATATTTCCCAATTAAAAACCACATTGTTCAAACTCTGTAACTTTGTCTTTCCAGGAGGAAACTCTATGGGAGTGAATGGTGGAGTGGGAGTGCAGTCCCCGAACCAGCAGTCTACACTACTGCCAGACGCCATGTTGCACAACAGCATGAATGTACAGAGGTATGACTGCTTTTCATTGGTCACAGTCATTAACTTCAGGATGCGGTTGTGTAACAGGCTTTCACAAAGTCAAAAATAGATCTGTATCGGCTGAAGTCTTACACCTCGTTTCTCTTGTTGTTTCTCTCAGTTTGATGAATGATAGTGTGGGGAACCTGGGATCCATGCCCACAGCAACTCCTCCTTCTGCTGCAGGCATGAGGAAGTCCTGGCATGAGGACATCACACAGGACCTCCGTAACCACCTTGTCCACAAGCTGTGAGTTTGCTCCGTCCTTCAACTTTCCCCCCAAAAATCTCATAATTTGAATATGACATAATTTTCAGCATTGGCCGTCAATTGATTGCTTTAAACCTCTTGTTTGTGACTCTCTCTGTGTTGGTTTGTGTGTGCCCGGGGAAGCAGTGTACAGGCCATCTTCCCTACTCCTGACCCAGCTGCACTGAAGGATCGGCGGATGGAGAATCTGGTGGCTTACGCTCGAAAAGTAGAGGGTGACATGTATGAGTCAGCCAATAGTAGGGTAAGAGACCAACAGCCATTGAAGGAACATTGAGTAATGTGACACAACTATCCAATTTAAGGAACAAGGAAATAAATAAAATTTATTTTTATACTCTGTTGAGATATTTCCTTTTACATTCACCCTCCAGGCGGAGTACTACCACCTGCTGGCAGAGAAGATCTACAAGATCCAAAAGGAGCTGGAGGAAAAGAGGAAGACGCGGCTCCAGAAGCAGGGCATGATGCCCGGCCAACCTGGAATAGGCTCCCCAGGCCTCCCACAGGGGCCTCCAAGCATGGGACAGCCGCCCATGATCCCGGGGCAACCCCCAAGTAAGTTAACATACAGTTTGTTTTTTTACACGGCATGCAATCCCTTACACATCTTTAAGAATCTGTTTTTTACTCTGTGATCCTGGAGACAAGATTTGTGATTTCTGGAACTTTTCTCACCCTCTCAGATGGTCCTCACATCGATCCGTCCATGGTCCGACCAGCCGGACCCAATCAGATGGTCAGCAGGATGCAGAACCCAGCAGGTACATCTAATAACTAATAATATTTTAATTTATAAAGTGTGTGGAGTGAACAGACATAGAAAACATTTTGTCTTGCCTCTCATGTAGACATCTTTCATTCCTGTCCTCTGTCTCTTTTAGGAATGAACCAGTTTGGTCAGATGGGGATGCAGTCGATGGGTCAGAGGTCGACCCCTCCTCTTCCTCTTAATTCTCCAATGAATCAGGTTGGTATCACTATCGATGCCGTCAAACAATTTTCCATAAGTAATACTTAGATCGGATACAAAAAGTTAAGATGATGTAGTAAGTGCTAACCTGAGTGTACAGAAAACCCAGCAGAACCATGGTTAATGAAGTTCTCATTTACATGAACAACACATAGATTTACCGACCGTATATCTTTATCTGACTGTTGACTGTAAGGTTGTCTAATCTAACTAAGTCTTGACATGTCCCCTGATTTCTCATTTCCAGATGGGTATGGGTGCACCAAGAATGAACCAGCCCAATGCCACACAGTTACAGAACCAGTACCTCCCCCAAGGCCAGTTTCCTGGGTCCAGTCCTGGACTTGGTTCTGGTCCTGGTGGCATGAACCAGCCCGGGCCACAGACTACAGTGCCACAGGTGAGGATTGAGTGGTGCAGTGACTGTACCTTATTACATATAGATAAGTTGGAATGTCAAGAGGAACTTGGGTCTTTGTAAATGCTTGAGTTAATGAAATTCATACAGTGTTGCAGGGATTTATGGGTAGTGATGAATACTGTCTTCATGACCACTGTGAAATAGCTCTCACAGCTTTTTTCGATGCAGAAGTTTTAATATATATTATATCTTATAATCTGCTTAAATGAACAAGACTCTTAACCACTGTGTCCTCACCTCTGTAGCAGAACCAGATGTCAACGCCGCCTTCCCTCCCAGCCAGTAGTCCTGCACCACAGTCTGCCTCTTCTGCTCCAGGCTCTGGGACCCCTGGAGGCTCCATGGGGCCTGGAAGTGCCACCGGTGCTGGGCCTCTACCCAGCCTGCCGCCATCCTCCACCCCCACCCAGCCCAACTCCTACCCGCACTGCCCGTCCATCCGAACAAACTCACCATCACCAGCTCGCAGCTTAACGCCTCAACCTCATCAAACCCCCCCCACGTTACCTGGTTCTCAAACCCCACAGCCACATACTCCTAGCACACCTCAGCTACCACCTCAGCAGCACCCCCAGCAGCAGCAGCAGCAACAACAACAGCAGCAGCAGCAGCAGCAGCAGCAGCAGCAGCAGCAGCAGCA